CTTCCCGGTGTCCCCGCAGACCCCCGCCATGGGCAACACGAGCAGCGAGCGCGCCGCGATGGAGCGGCAGGGTGGCCATAAGACACCCCGGAGGGACAGCTCAGGTGGCACCAAGGACGGGGACAGGCCCAAGATCCTGATGGACAGCCCGGAGGACGCCGACCTCTTCCACTCCGAGGAGATCAAGGCTCCAGAGAAAGAGGAATTCTTGGCCTCCGAGGAGATCAAGGTGCGGACGGTGGGGGAATCCGATTCTCCTCGACCCTAGTGAGGGGAGGAGCGCTCTGCTAGATTCCCGCCACATCCTCCGAGTCGCCGCGAGAACCCGGAGGAAGGTGGCTGCTCACCAGATGTACTTGAAAGCCAGCTGGTCCTTTTAAGAGTTTTCTTAGCAGTCCAGGAACTTTCTGTCTAATTACCGATAGGAGAAAGTCACCCAGCGGGAGGAAAAACTCACTTCGTGTAACATCATTAAGGAGAAGGAAGCTCTGGGACCGAGTTTCAAATTCTTAATTGAAAGACGCAAGCTAGCAGCAGTTGCGCACCAGTCTCTGCTTTTCTCTTAGGTGTAATTAATTTCACAGCTTTGAGAAATCGTTCCTCACCTTGACGCAGACTGGTGCTTCTTGTAAAAGTTGTTTTGGAGGTTGGTTGGTCGGTCGTTCTGGCGATAAATCAGACCCCACACGCAAGCAGAAAACAATGGGCTGCAGTTGTCATAGATGTTTGGTTATGACAGCTGGTCCACCCTGCTTTTTAGTACAGCGAAGAAAGGTAAATTAAGTTGTGGGTCAGTCAGGAGGAAGCAGCAAGCAGGGACTAAACTTCTCATCACTTATTTAAATGGGACTTACATCCTAAGCAGACCGAATCAGACATTTTTGCAAGTCAGAGTTTGCCTGCAGTGCCTTAATTCGTAAAAATTAAGATTCTGGATTCCTCATTCAAACACATCTGTTAACTGCTTTGCTACTGGTCTGTTTCCTGCCGCAGGAGCCAGTGTAACAATACTTAGTGACTCTGGCAGGTGCGCAGCTAATTCCTTAGAGAAACTAAATAGGTTTAAGAAGAATGAAGGTGCCTCCACCCAAAATAATCGTCGTCCATTGGGCCAGTTGCCCAGTGGTTTATTCATCCTTTTCTTGCATCTTTTTCCAGGTATTAGGCCGAGTGACTGTTATCTTACACCCTCACTGGAATCTTAGTTCTAAGTCAGACTTTAAAAAGCTTCCTACCTTTTACATGGCCCTAAATCCTGTCATTTGAACTTGTTTTCTGAACTTGCTTCATTCTCGAAAAGCGTGTGCACAGACCTCTGGAATCTTGTTTCTCCAATGCCTTGACATACCTTCCCCCAGAAGTAGTGTTGGCCCCTAAATACTCAAGACACCATAAGTAGGAAACTACTTTCCAAACTACAAGATGTTTAGCAAACAGGTGATCTGTGGAGGATGAATTTAAGTAGCATCCTTTCTCATTTCACCAGAAATTACTCAAATGAGGTAGCAGACACACCGGACTGAATATTCTAGATATCAGAAGAAAAAAATATCATGGATTCTTATTTTTAACTATCCCAGGTCACTATTTTGATGGCTGTTGATTATATCCCCTAAACCCATTCCAGTCTGTTCATTCTTTAATCTGTAGGTCCTATTAGAATTCAGAGTACAACTATCTTTTAGGTAAGTTCAAATCTGTGTTTTAAATAAGGATGCTAGAAGTTTGCTAGACTCTCAAGTGTTTCTCCCAGCCTGGAACTCCTCTTTTTGAAGTCTTTGGCTTCTGGCTAGGAAAAAAAAAAATGTCAGAGATCCATAACCAAATGTATTTCACCCAGACAGGGTGGAATGTGTTTCTTTCTTATTCTAGAGCATTTGTTACTGGGTAATAACCACACCAGATGTTATTGTAGGGAATTGTATGGTAATTCATCATTACCATAGGGAAGGGACAGTCTTTGCTTTATTGATGTTTCTCCACTGTCTAGACACCATTGAGTGATTAGTGTGTTCCTTCCTCGCCATCTGATTGGCCATTTCTCAAGGTAGCAGTTCTGGAATTGTCCATAATAAATTTTCATGGACTTTTAATTGGGCTTTATTAAAGGAGGAAAGTGACAGTAAGCTGCCCTTTTTATTTATTGCAGTCTTCTTCCAAACAAGGATTATAGTTTGCTGTAGATTTTTTTTTTTTGTACAAGCCTATTTAATAACAGCAGTAATACAGCTAATAATTGTTAAGCATGCGCTGCACGTCAGACGCCGTACAGAATATTTCACATGGAGGTCTCTTCACAACAACCTTAAGAAGCAGTTATTTTAATTAGGGGTGGTGAAACGTGGAATCTTAGCACCACTTCCCTCTTTAGAATGAATTGTCAGTGTTAGGTTAACGATTTACTGTAGCTAGATCACTCACTAATGGCTTCCTGTTCCTGAGTAAACTGTGTTTCTAGGCTCCAGAGAAAGAGGAATTCCTGGCCTGGCAGCATGACCTGGAAGTGAATGATAAAGCTCCTGCCCAGGCTCAGCCCACAGTGTTTCGATGGACAGGAGGTGGAAAAGAAGTTTACCTATCTGGGTCCTTCAACAACTGGAGTAAACTTCCCCTCACGAGAAGGTAATTGCCTGGGCGTGTGTTCATTTCTTTATACTTACCAGAGCCCATATATACTCATGTTTCTAAAAGATCTCTGCAAATGAATAGAAAAAGAATATTTTTATAAAATGGATGTGGAATGAAGAAATAAAGTTGCTTATTAATAAATTGTAGATTTTAAATCCAAGAAATGTCTAGGTTCAAAACACATTTTTTTAGAAGAAAATCTCTCTTGGTAGAGAGCATTTCCATGTCATGAACATCTCTCACTGCTAATGCCAAATGATATATTTCTCTTCAGATCTATTCATAAAGCAGCTGAGAGAGTGCTGGGCTATGAATCTTAGAGACGCATATTTGAGCACACCTTATTTACAAGGTTGCTTCCTATCTGAGCCTCAGAATGCCTTTCTGTGGAAAAGGACCATTAGATCAGGTGCTCTCCAAGGTTCATTCCAACTTGACTCTGCATTACTTTTGTTTGAGAGTGCCTGTTACATGGGCCTCATTAGCAAGGGTGTAGTGATCCGGGCACCGGGGCATGGATTTCTATCGGATTGCCCAGGAGAACGCACCTTCACTCATGAGGACCCTTGATGAAATGAAGGGAGAAATGGAGCCCTGGCTGTTATCAAAGGGTTGCCCACATTTCTAGCAGTAACATTAGAGAAGATGTGAGCCACCCTGTGCAGTAGTCACAAGTAGGTTCAAATCAGAGAAACAAAAAAAACCAGATGAAAAAGGTTCCAGAAATCTGGACATTTGTGTGGCCTGTCAAATTGATCCTCTGTGCCCCCAGCACAGCCTGACAAAGGGTAAAAGCAGGCAGCTTGCTGTTTGTCTTGTGTTGACATCCTTCTGCGCATTCAGAGCTGCCAGGTGGTGTTCTGCACACACGCAAGAGGATCACAAGCATTGTTTTGTTTACCTTCTAATGTTACATCCTAGGATGTGAGCACAGTGAGTTTTCAGGCAAGTCTCTTCCCCTGTTGCTTCCTTATGCAGTTTTTCTAGATGGAGACCATTATCTGAATTGACTCAGTTGGGTGAACACGTTTGCTGTCCTGCCCGTGAACACTTGGTTTTCCATGGAATGCTCCATGGCCGGCTTGAGCCAGCACGGCAGCCCATCCAGCTGAAATGTTCTGCTTCCTTTCTCCTTTTAGCCACAATAACTTTGTAGCCATCCTGGATCTGCCAGAAGGAGAGCATCAGTACAAGTTCTTTGTGGACGGTCAGTGGACGCACGACCCTTCTGAGGTACTCTTCCTCCTGCCCTTGGTCTTCATCCACATAAATCACTTGCCACCATGCCCTGCTGGTAAAAGTCCCCGTGTGGCTGAGTAAGACAACGCCATACTGTTGTCAGGTTGTTGGCACACTTGACAGAGACGACAGCGTAGCTACGTAGGAGATATCGCCAGCCAGGATTCCAAGTCCTCTAGAGAATAACCCCACAGACCTTCCATGTTATGATGTCTGCCTGTCTGTCTCTTCCCAGCCAGTAGTAACCAGCCAGCTTGGCACAGTTAACAACATCATTCAAGTGAAGAAAACTGACTTTGAAGTATTTAATGCTTTAATGGTGGATTCCCAAAAGTGCTCCGATGTGTCTGGTATGAACACAGTTATTTTGTACGACGTGTGTGCAGGTGGGGGCTGTGGAGCCTGCAGGTCTCTCATTTCTCTTGTGTCTTGCTCTTGAGCTCAGGCTGCCCAGTCAGGTGGATTGTAGCGCTGAAGGGTCACAGCACTGATTCCTATCTCTCTCGGGTCAGGTTGCTGAAGTTCAGCTCCCAGGGAGCTGTAAACTGTCCTTGTCTTCTTGGGTATTCAGTATGGTCTACTTAGTCACAGATAACAGTAAGTGGAAACAGAACCAAAGTTTGGTGTCAGGCCAGAGGCGGGGCTGAAGAGGCCTCGGAGGGAGGGTTGTGTCGGGTCGTGGATGCACCAGCGCCGGGGAAGCCCGCCAGCTCACTTCCACTCCCGGTGCCTAGAGAATTTTAACCTGACAGGTGATAAACGGATGCCTCAGTGACCTTGCCCTTTGCTTGTGTAGCACATTAGCACCTTGCCAGACGCTTTGACAAGGGAAGAAAACAGCTCACCACAGGAAACAGGCTGTATAGCATAGCTGTGCTTCCTGAAAAATTGGCTTGGTGCAAAAAGTCATAGCAAAACTTTTCCACATTTCGATACACTGCTTTCCAGCCAAACCCCACAGGAAGAAACTCTCAGAATGTAATACGTGGGACACGGGTGTGTTGTAGCCTGAAGTATCAGTGCTAGTTGCGACTCCCCTTGTGTGCAGAGGCTCAAACAATTCGTAGGCCCTGTAGGAAACATTGAAAAGATTCCCCAGGAGTATGTCCAGCAGTGTGAGAAAATGGATTTGCTTCCATTTACAGCATGATTTTTTATTATCACCTGGCTAGGCCTGGAGGCTCTGTCACCAGATTCTCCTGTTGTTACCAGTCCAGAAATCATGACGGTAAATTGACCATGGTAAGCTTGCTGTGGCTGACAAATGAGGCTCTTAGGCAGGACTTAGAAATCCAAAAATAGGATTCTTTTATTTAGGTGGTTAACTCATCTTTGAGACAGATCACCTACTTTTTTTTTAGATAGGTAAGAATCAGAGCATGGAGAAAGTACCCAAATATCCTCTTGCTTGCTGATAAATGTAATTTTAGGTCACATACTAAAAGCCTTCAGTCACGGTTCTGCAATATAGATCTCCTGCAGGGGGAAAAACAGGCTGTTTGCTGCTGAGAAGCCAACTTCAGGCTCTCAAGAGCTTATAAAGACACATAATTTTCTTATAATGGCTCATAATACACTTAATGCTTTATCTCAGTTTGCTGTTGTGTTGCGGTTAGATCACATGAAGGGAACCTGTCCCTAGAAAATGCCATTGAGGGAATTGGCAGAGCTGGGGCGTATCAGGTGTATTCTGGACTAGCCAGGGATCAGGTGACCAGAAACCCATCCCCAGTGTACATTGAATAATGCCTCAGGACCTTCCAGCTGGCCGGATGTCACTAAACAAGCTGCCTCAATATGTAACCCTACCTGCCTAGAAGTTTCATAGTTGTCCCTGTAAGCAGGATACTCAGGCCAGAGCTTGAGCAGAGCCTGAGTGTGGTGGACCAGAGAACTTTTAGAATCCGAGTTTTTTCAGTTATTTTTTAAAGTTTACTGGTGCCTCATGAAACCTCATATTCTGGCTGCTCCTAATTTGGGATTAGCTGGCTAATCCTCACTTGAAGCCTTGCGCTTCTTTGTGGTATTTGCCAGCCCAGCCCAAAGTGAGCCGAAAGCCTGTAGGCTCGGGAGGCCAGGTGATGGAGAACAGTCTCCGTATTAGTCTGCTCCAACCCCCTGCTTCTGCCCAACTTCCGTCTTCCACCAGAGCATCTTGAGTTCACTATCAGTTTTTATTCCAATCCCCCAAATTCCAGAAGGCTTTTCTCATTTCACCATTGGGGCTTCTGTGTCTTGCAAAAGACTATGATTCTGGAAACAAGAGACAAGCAAAGCTAGGTGACACCACGATGAATTAAACAAGACTACTCCCAGCACTTGTGGTTTCCAGTATGCCCTGTCGCCTTGTCCCTGCAGAGCTGTCCAGTTCCCCACCAGGACCCTATCATCAGGAGCCCTACGTGTCCAAACCGGAAGAGCGGTTTAAAGCTCCACCCATTCTCCCGCCACACCTGCTCCAGGTCATCCTGAACAAGGACACAGGGATTTCCGTGAGTACATGGCCAGTCCTTCACAGTCAGACTTCTCTGTTCTTGTGTCCACTTCACACAGTGCCTGTGGTCAACAACTCTCTGTCACCATTGGCATGAGCTGCTGTGGTCCACCTCTGACAGTGGATGATGGGCTGCTGACCAGAGGCACTCTCCCCTCCCCCCCACAGGGCCTTTCTGAACTTGTTCACTTGTCTTTCACTCCTGCTCCAGTGTAAATCCCACTTCATTTAAATTTGATGGCATGCCTTCATAGGAAGCTGCATGTTAGAACTCCTCCTCAGGCCTTCACATCTTAGAATCTAGTTTTAACAATGAAATTGTTTCCCAGAACATGAGTGCTCTTGGATAGGAATGTGAAATATCTGACTAACCCACAATTCCTCCTAGAAATTAGCATTTTATAAAACTGTATCCTGGATCATGAAGAACGACCTGACACAGTGGACCCTTGACTTACAAACTCAGTTGGTTCCGAGGGCTGGTTGCAACTCAAGCTGACAGCTTAAGACTTAGGCTTCTTTACGAAGCCTCCAGGGTCTCTTCCCTTGGTACAGGCAGATCTCAGTGTCATTAGAGAGATGTTAGCTCAGGATTTATTTAATAATGTACCTTCCAGAACTAAAGGGTTGAATCAGTATCTGAGAATACCTAGAAGCACAAGCAGGGCCGGACAAATAGCTCAGCGGATTAAAGTGCCTGCAAGCAGGCACAGGGGCCAGGGGTTCGATCCTTGGGCCTACCATGCCAGCCCCACCCCCAGGGCACACTGAGATAGCAATTGAGACTGGGCATCATGGCGCCCACCTGTAATCCCAGCTCTTGGGAGGCTGTAAACAGGCAGATCACTACAAGTCTGATCTAATAGTGAGACCTTGAACACCCTGTAGACCCTTCTCTAAAACACACACACACACACACACACACACACACACACACACAAAGCAGCTAGCATGGGGGTCATAATTCGTGACTTTGGCCATAAGTTAAAGTTCTGGAGCCAGGCATGTAGCTCAGTGGTACAGAGCCTGCCTGGCGAATGTGAGGCTCTGCGTTTGATTCCTGGTACCAAAGAAGAAAATAGAAAAAAAAAATTCTGGTCATAACCCAAGTTGTTTGTATGTCAGGCCAGTCTTGACTCAGAGGCCCACTGTACTTCTTGTGCTTAGCTTTCCATTTTCTTTAATCCAGTTTACCCATTCCACTTAGCTCTGGAATTATGGCTTGGTTCAAACTGTCACCTAAGGGGCATGTGTTTTTAAGTTGCCTAGTGTTTTATGTTACTGACACAGCCCACGACTGGGTGATTTATAAAGAAGAGAGAGGGGGGCTGGGGCTCAGTGGAATAAGCACTTCCCTGGCAAGCGCAAGGGCCTGAGTTCAGTCCTCGATTCCGCCAAAAAAAAAAGATAGGTCTTACTGTCTTCCTGAGTTCAATCCCCAGTTCCACCAAAAAAGAAAAAAAAGAGAGAGAGAGAGAGATAGGGCTGGGGAAATAGCTTGGCACCTGCCTGGCAAGTGCCAGGACCCAGGTTCAATCCCTGGTACCACATACTATACAGACCACTGTAACTGAGCATGGTGCACACATCTGTGATCCCAAGGCTGGGGAGGCTGAGACAGAGGATCATTACAAGTCCAAACTGAGTAGTAAGACCCTGTACCAAATAAATAAACATTTTTTTTTAATTTAAGAAAAGAGCGCCTGCTTAGGCAGAGCGCAGAGGCCAGGGTTCAATTCCTGGCCTGCTGTGCCGGCCCTGCCCCTGGGGTATGCTGAAACAGTGATTGAGACTAGGCATGGTGGTGTGGGCCTGTAATCCCAGCACTTGGGAAGCTGAAAACGAGAATCACTATGAGTCCGATCTACATATTGAGACCCTATAGACCCTGTCCTAAATACAAAAGAAAGGGAAAGAGAGAGATTGGGTTTATGAGTGTAGAAAATGGGAAGTCCTGGCACCAGCATCTGCCAGGGGCATTCATGCCATGTTGTTCATGGCAGAAGATAGAAAGAGATGAACTGTTCACTCTTGAGGTAACTGGCCCACTTCCACGATAACATTAATCCATGCTGTGTCTTTAAGACCTACTCACTTGTAGGCCTCGCCTCCTTCACACTGGAGGTGAATTTTCCAACACAGGAACTTTTGAGGACACACTCAACCATGGCAGGTGCTAATATAACCATGCTACTCGGGATCCCACGCCCAGGTGGAAGACGGGCGCTGAGAGGAGTGAGTGTGTGTGTGTGTACGTGTGGTTGTCCTCTTCAGCAGTCGGTGCTGGGCCAGCAGGGCAGAGTCCTAATTTTTGTTATGTGTCCCAGTGAGGCTCACCTTTCTCAGGGTGCCAGATCCCCTCTGTGTCAAGAGTGTACTGGACACATGGTTTACAGCTGAGATGGCAACTCTGGCATGTGCCACGAGGTGGCCACTGGTAGGGATCGCTTGGTGTCGGAACCAGCTGGGCCACCTGGGTTTCCAGCACTAAGTTGCCAGCATCTCAAGTACAGGGGACATTTGGCTTCCATCTTAGAAGCACTTGGATGAAGCCATGTTCCTTTACTCTGCTTTTACAAAGATTTGTAGGTTTAAAAAAAAAAAAAAAGATCTACAAAGCTATTAGGGTCATTTTCCTTTTTCCTCCTTGCAAAGGGACACATGGCCAGGGAGTTAGCTCAGCGGCAGAAGTACTGCCTGGCAAGCTCAAGGTCTCAAGTTTGATCTCTGGTACTGAGGGGGAAAAAAAGGAAAGTGTGACTGGCTGGCTTCTGTGATGGAGACTGTGTCTCAAAGTAGGCTGGCCAAGGGCTTGGGATGTGACCTCGGCAGTAACCGCATCAGGACACTGCTAGCCAGGCAGCACTGAGCTCTAACACAGACCTTGGTAATGGTGAGGACACTCAGTGGCTAACGGTGACGACGCCTTGAACTAGTCCAGAGACTGTCCATGTGTTCCTACTTGAGCCTCACCACAACGCTGTGACATAGGCCCTACCCTCACCGCCCCTGACTGGACAAGGAGACTGTGGCACAGAGAAATTAACATCCCAGGGAGAACGCTGCAGCTGCTGTCAGGGATGCTCAGTTATTAGCGATTGTCACCATGCGGTGCAGTAGCTCCTGCGCTTCTGTCATATTGTAGCCAGCATCTGCCCACCCCGCCCCCTCCTTCCGTAAGCCCAACTTTCTAGATTCTGTATCTAGATTCTTTTTTTTTTTTTTTTTTTGGAACTGGGGATTGAACTCAGGACCTTACAGTTGCCACTCAGGCTCTTACGCCCCTGAGCTATCTCACCAGCCCTAGATTCTGTATTTAAATAAGATCTGTACCTCGCGAGTTTAACGTTTCCAGGTACATCCGTGTTTTGGCAGATGGCAGAATTTCCTTTTTAAAAATGATGAGTATTCCAATTTGTATATATATGCCGCATTTTAAAAATCAGTTCATCCATTGACGGTTTGGATTTCCCATATCTAGGCCACAGTGAACATGCAGATGTCTCTTCAAAGTACAGATTTCATTTACCAGTGCTGAATCGTATAATGCTTTTGTTTTTAAGTTTTTGAGGGGCTTCCGTACTGTTTCGGTAAGACTGCCCAGTTTATATGTGGCCAGTGCACAGAGTAGATTTTCAGTGTTTTGATCCCAAAAACGATCAGCATGTGAGGCCGAGGTCAGTATTGATGGTTCAGTGTAGTCATTCCACTACGCATATTCCAAAATACCGTGTTACACACAAGTAGTATAGTTTTATCTGTCCATTTTTGAAAATTTTTAAAAACCCTTGGTAACATAGTCTGTGACCAAGCCAGCATTCAGGTGAGGCAGGGGTGCCAGCTCCTTGCTGTCACCTGCTGCTGGGGACAGCCTCCCATGGGGCTCAGTGGGCAGTGTTGACAGAGGGATCCTAAACCTGAGGTGGAGGCGACTGTGGTGCTCCAGGCTCCCAGACGGTGGCAGAGTTGAAGCCATGAATGAGCTTCTCTCCACATTCTTCTTTGAGAACACCAGCATGTTTAGTTCTGGTAGAATCACAAATTTCTTCTTGCAAACCTGGAACCCATGCAGGACTTGTTAGACTAGCTTCCCAGGCTCCCCCAGAGCTCCTAGAGCAGAAGCCCTCAAGATAGTCCTGCCCAGCTGTGGAGAGGGCGGCTCCAGCTTCCTCACCTGGGGAGACCTGGTCTCCTCTCAACAGACCGGAAGTCTTGCTCTCACACCAGCTGCGTTGGGGCCACAAGAGGCCCTCAGGTGGCTGTGAGACCTTGAGGTCCTGGGGGCTGGGGTATAGAGCTTCCCACAGTGCTGAGTGACTGAGCACACTCCCTCCCTCAAAGCAAGGACTGCTCGTTGCCTACACGTTTTTATCACAGGTTAACATTTATAAATGTTGGGGGTATACATGGGAGGGAGGGGTGAGACCACAGATTTTGTTGTCCCCCTAAAAAAACTAGGAAGGCTGCAATGCTAAGTGCTGGTCCTGTCTAAGGTTTTACACAATAATCGTGACTCCTGCAGTTACCCATTTCATTCTTCATATAGTGTCCGAGTCTTAGGGACCTAAGTGTGAGCTCCACTGCTCAGAAGTGTTTACTTAGTCATATCTTCCTGTGCTCCCTGAATGCACTTTCAGCAGATAGTTCTTTTTTTCTTGCCCCTTCCTAGATCTGTAGCCTGTACTCCAGAGGCCAAGAGAAAACCTGGCCTGAGACACATTAGCCCATCCAGCTGGTATGAAAGGGTCCCCTTCAGGCAGGGCAGGGCACAGCAGTCTGGGCTCACCTGTCATCTTGGAAAAGCCCTTCTGCTGCCGGACTTGGAATGAGCTCCTATGCTTTGCTGCCTGGTGCCGTGAAATCAGGGAGGATTACCTTACTTCCAGATCCTCAGTCTGCCTTTGTTCCTTTGCAGTGTGACCCAGCGCTTCTCCCAGAACCCAACCATGTCATGTTAAACCACCTCTACGCACTGTCCATCAAGGTAATGACCTGTCACTGTTAGGGTTCTCAGTGTGTGCTTTAAGAACACCCTGGTGCTGGAGTGGAGGAATACTGGCTTATGGGACAACTTCCAGGGCTTGGGCTCTCCAAGGGGGTCTGGGAATTTGTATTTTCCTGAAGCCCCATGGTGATTCTTGTGCTTCATAAAGTCTGGGTTCCTGCATGCATCCTGCCATTGACTGTTTCCACCCTCTCCCTTCCTTAGGACGGCGTTATGGTGCTCAGTGCGACCCACCTATACAAGAAAAAGTATGTGACCACCTTACTATACAAGCCCATATGAAGTGCTGGGAGCCGACAGAGGGCCTGGGGACAGCTGGCACCACCAGGCCCTCATGTGCATGCTTTCCACTAGAGGAATGGACTGTCCACTTCCCGTTTCACACACTCTCTAAGCCATTTCATACCTGCCCTACTCCTACTTGAAGGTTAACCAGGTGCCTCAGCTCCAGGAGAGCCTGGTTCTGTAACAGTCCTCTGAGAGCTCGGTCGAGTACCTCGGGAGCTCAGCAGGGCTGCCAGAGGCAGAAGAGAAAGCAAGGGGCTGCAGCCCTGAAACAGTGCACAAGGCCAGGTGCGGCTCTACACACGCGCCCCTCTGAGCTGGTTGTAGATATTGTTAAGCCAAAAGTAAATCCTAGTCACCTTGCTGGGAAAAGTGTGGGAAGCAGGGACTGAAGTCACACAAAATTTCTGATTGTGCATCTTTAAGGTCACTGGCCTGTCCCTTCTGAGGCCTGGCTGGGGAGCTCAGAGTAAGTCCCATCTTGTCTGTCCTTCCAAATCAAAGCAATAGATTGCCTCTTTCTCTGCTTCAGGGAGGTATAATTTCTATTGAAATTAAAAACTATCTGATTTCCAGATGAATTTTTACAGTTGTTTCCTACACTGTGTGGATTAAATAACACTTTTGTAACCAGAGGTGGCTGGCTGTGCAGCCTTAAGGCAGTAAGTCAGCGCAGCTAGAATGTAGATCATGTGACTACGCTCAGCAATAATCTATTCCCAGAATAGACTTTAAACCTGCCGCTGATTCCTCCATGGAGCCGGATGATCCGGAGGACTGACCATCATTAGCTGGAAGGCTGTCCAGCTCTTTGTTCCAATCATAATGTGATGACAGTGTTACCATGACAACTTCGCAGAAGCACTCGAGCCTCCTTTCAGTTCTGTCTTGTGCCATCAGGGATTCAGAGCCGACAGCAGCCTTCAGCATTCACTCCAGGAGAACATCTCCAGCACAGTGGACCTCTTTTGGCACTGTTTCCAGGGAGATTCCCCCCCCAGATGCCCCGTTGATACAGTTTCTTGTCACCCAGTCAGCAGAAGTTGTCATTATGCCCTTTGTTCTTGTTGGGAGAGGGAGGAACAAGCTCACTAGTGTGCATTATTTATTTGGTAAACCTGAGTTCTGGTACCCTTTTTTGTTACTGTTTTCAAAACACTGAATTGCTGTCACCTTGACATATAAGTTTTAATAAAGCTTTGTAAATATAATTGAACATTCATTTGGAGGAAGCTTTGATTCTATTCAGTTGTTTGAATAATAGACTAGCACTGTTCCTGTCTTTATGCCATGCTTGAGGCTCTGGAGTGAAGGCAGAGCTGCCCCCACCCAGTCACCAATGAAGGGGCATCAGAGATGGAGCCCCGATGAACTACTCAATACCAAGAAATAATATTCCTGGCTTGGGCAGATAGGCAGCACCTCTTGCTCTTAAGCTCCACTCAGGAGCCTGGGTTCTGAGTTTGTGGGGCACCAGGACATTTTTGGAATTAGCTATAGCTGCCAGAATGGGCTGTTTTCCTAAAGCATGGAAGGTTACACGGGACTTTTTTTTTTTTTTATGTTTTATTTATTTGGTACAGGGTCTAGCAACACAGCTTGGACTCAAGTGATTTTCCTGTCTCAGCCTCCCCAGCACTGGGATTACAGGCATGTGCCACTATGCCTGGTTTCAGTGGCTGGCATAGCATGTCCTAGGAATTGAATTAGGGGTTCTTGCATTTGCCAGGCAGGAGCTTAAGACCACGAAGCTATCTCCCCAGCCCCAGTTATGGGCGTTCTTTAACACTCTTCTCAGGCATCAGGAAACATTTTCAATAAACATCAGGAAAGGGCAGGCCTGGGTCATATGGTCTATAGAGGGAACAGCACCTCAAGGTAATACCCAGTCTTACCTGGAAGACTAGATCAATGTGAAACTCTCCATTTTGGGGACTACAGAGATCATTACAATAGCCTAAGAAAAAATGCTTTTCAGAATAGATGACATTTTAAGACACTATTGAAGACAAAGTGAAACATATAAATGAGATAATAATTAGAAATAAAGCTCTTGAGCACAGCCCCTCTACCCATGGCAAGAACTGGGAGAGGGTGTCTAAGAGACAGACCCAGCTTAGGACATGCTGGATTTGACACCCGCACCCAGGCAGGGAGCTCCCTATTTGAGTAAGGCCAGCACACTCCCACTGCCCTTTATGTAACAGGGCCTGAGTCAGGCCTCAGAAGGAGCTATCAGCCACAGACTGCAGGCAGAAACCAGAAAATCCAGCATACAAATTAGCTCTGTTTACTGTGTTGAAACACTCAAGCTGAAAATGATACGTAAAAACTAGCTCGGAGCCAGTTACTCTAAGAATCCCAAATCTGGAACCATATGGAACTGAGGACAGATGGTGACAGGTGGCAGAGGACAGGCACCCTGAAGCCACAAGGAGGTAGGTGTCTGAGACAGCATTCTCCACATTGTCTAGAGTTCTGTGTGATCGCTTCTCGGTCTTTTGGCTAAGATCAAGTGTAGAGTTCTGTGTGTATATTTTAAAAAATGTCATTTTCTCTGAAAAGCAGCACTAAAGAAAATTCTTTGTGGTCCAAAAGCCTGCCCACAGAACCAAGTGGAAGACTTCAGACGCTAAAGCTAGATAATAGAGACCACATAAGCTAAAAAGCAGACCCTGCTCTGGCCAGCCCACAGAGGTGCCACATGTCGAATGGGGTGTCCTGTGACCCTGCGATGCTTGCCCCATCAGCATTCCCTTCATGGGTGAGGCCTGCTTACGTGGTTGGTTAAAGCTTAACTAAACTGCTTTACGGTGAAGATATATTTTCTTTTCCTCTATAAATTTATAAATTTATAGACCCACAGGTAAACTCTGGAGATTACAAGAATGTGTATAACAATATTGGAGGGTAAACACAATTGCCCCTCAGTATTCTTGGGGTTAGCTTCCTCAGATAACAGTCTCCACATAAACTACACACATCTTCCCCTATCCTTTAAATTCTCTCTAGGAGGTCAGGGATGTTCATGAAGCTTGGTTAGCTGACCATATGCAAATCACTAAGCCTCTCTTAGCTTGATTATATTCTCCTTGAAAAATGAAGAGTAGGAATAACAACGGATGCCTGAGACGCCTTTCATTTCACATTGGGAGCCACAAATCTTGACATCATGTAACGGATTTGGCTAAAAACAGGAAGCCATAGCACCACACAAGAAAACTTCCATAGGGCCAGCGAGATAGCTCAGTGGACTATGCACCTGCACAGGGACCGGGATTCCATCCCTGCCACCACATGCCATGCTGAGCTGGCCACTGAGACCAGGCGTGGTGGTGCACACCTATAATCCCAGTGCTGGGGAGGCTGAAAACAGGATCACTACGAGTCCAAGCTGCACAGTGAGACTGTACCAAATACATTCAAAACAAAACAAAACAAAACAAAAATCCTGCCAGTATCTCAACTAGCTTAATTAGGAAATGTGTTCAAAAGACAAGATCAAGGGGCCAGCCAAATAGCTCAGTGGATTAAAGCACCTGCAAGCAGGCACAGGGATCAGGGGTTCGATCCCCGGGCCTGCCGGGCCAGCCCTGTCCCTGGAGTGCACTGAGATGGTGATTGAGACTGGGCGTGGTGGCATGCGCCTGTAATCCCAGCTCTTGGGAGACTGTAAACAGGCGGATCACTACAAGTCTGATCTAGTAGTGAGACCCTGAACACCCTGTAGACCCTTCCCTAAAATACAAAAAATACAAAAAACAAAAAAAAGGCACGATTGAAAACCCAGGACATGGCAAAAATTTCATTTTGTTCTGTCCTCTTCTTTTTATATAGTTACATTTTCACATCCAAGAATATACTCAATTCTGATAACTGATCCTTTGCTGAGGTAATTAAATGTGTCCCTTCTAAAGTTCAGATGTGGCCAGTATGGTAAGAGATGTGGCTTTTAAGAGGTGCAAGTTCATGAGGACTCCCCCTTCATAAATTGGAGATCTTTTATCACATGCCTCACAAAGCCTTTGGCTAGCTTGTCATCCTGCCTTCTGACGTGTAAAGCTGCAGCAACATGGCACCATCTTGGAACCACAGAATGACCCTCAGCAGACAACCAAACATGGCAGTAGCTTGAATGTGGATTCTCAGCTTCCAGAATTGAGAAAATTATACCTTACCCAGTCTTGAGTATTTTGCTACAGCAGCAATCAACAGACTAAGACATCTACCAATATACACAAGTGGTTTGAATGAGCTGATGAAGACCCAAGTCTGGGGACCACTCATCAAATCATCCTGCTTCTGACGAATCCCTCCCTAACACCTCTCTTCACTATCTCACTAGCGGAGCACAGAAACTTGAGCCTTCAGCCTTGGAAAAAGTGTAATTGTCTTCAGGAGAAAGCAAGGAAGTTATGGGCATGCACGCATTTCTTCTAGAACCCACATCATGTTAATTAAAAACATCCACCGAAGTCCTCCCATAGGATGTCACTTATGTGACACTGAAACTTGGAGGGAATCCAAAAAGCTGGAGCAGCAGCCAGAACTCAAGCTCTGAGCCCCACTGCTCTCTTTGGGAATAACACTGGACTGTCTTGAGGATTAGCTCCCATGACTACACTATCCCGTCGGTCCCTATTATGGTTTGTGGCCAGATGGCCCTCCCAAAACATCATGCAGTCATGGGCCTGGCCTGGTTTCTAGAGTTTCTGATTGACTCACGGTCCAATGCTAGGATTATGGATGGGTGTGAGTGCTACACCCACCCTAGGGTAGGTAGCCTGCATACGATATGAAGGAAAGAGGCTTGCTCTTCCTGCTGCTCCTCCCCTTTTCTTCTTGCTGCTTTTGCTATCTTCTCCCACCTTGAACTGCTGCCCCTGTGCCATGACACCCTGCCTTGAAGCCAGCTGGGCATGGACTGAAACTGCCACAAACTGTGAGCTAAATAAACCTTTGCTTCCTTAATTTGGGGAATCAGTATTTTGTTTCAGCAATGAAAGAAAGGTAACCAATCAGTCCCTCACACAACTTAAGAGCCCTTGCCTGGATGAAGGGCTTTGCCTGCCCTTACTATTTCCCCCAGCGCCACTCAATTCACCCAGCCCACCTAGAAACCCAGCCTCCAGGAAGATCACAGGAGACAGCTCTGCATGTGCATCCTCTGGGTCAGTTTTATTTTCCTATTTGGTGTCTCTCTGACGGAGCCCAAATTAGGCACAGTGGCAAAGTCATTTCCAAAGTCCTTTCCTCTAACTCTTTAACAATCCTTTCAGAGTTCCATTAATCATTGATAGACTCAAGGGCAAATAAAGTGATCACCACTATACTCTATTTCTCTACCCCCACCCTTCCCAGTTTCAGAAAAAGCTTCAATATTTGATTAGGGAAATGACAATTTTTTTTTTTCATATAAATAAAGCACACCTAGAGTCACATGGACCAAGATTTCTCAGTCTTGGCATGGCTGACATTTTGGGCTGGATGATTTTGTGACTGGGGAACAGGGGCTCTACTGTGCATTATAGGATCCTTGACCTCTGTCACTACATACCAGCAGTACATGCCAACTGTGATAACCAAAATCACTCTGACATTATCAAATGACTTCTGGGGGAGAGGAAGCAAAATCTCTCCTAGCTAAGATCAAGCCAGTTTAACTATTATGCTAAAAACAAAACAAACAAACAAAAAAAAAAAAAACTTGCTAAGCTGACAGGCTTTAGTCTTAAATCTTTACAAATGTTTTCTAAAGCTAATCTTATTCAAGAGACTCAATTCTGAAGACAGTTTGATCCTATGAAGCAAATCATCTCTTTTTGGCCTATCTGTCCATGTTTCATGATCATGAAATTTGCTAGCCATTCAACATCTTTAGTCTCATGAAAATTAAGTTGTAAGCATAGAAAACATCTAATATGTACCTAAGAAATAGGAGGGGCAGCCGGAAAGGTTGGGCCTCATTTTATGGTGCCACTGCGCAGTCTCTTTGAGGTCCATGCTTAGGGTCCAAAGAACCCTATTGGCAATTCCTTTTGGAACCAAACCATGTTTACTTAGCTTATGAAGTAATCTGTGGCTGTCAAGAATCTTCAGGACAGTAACTGAAATGGTTGACTGGTATTTACTGGACATTTTTTTAATGTTATAAGGAAAGAAAAATTCACACATTTCACTCCATCTTATGACTTATTTTCATTCTTACAATTAAGACTTTGTGGCAGATTTTTATGTCCAAAAGAGAAAAGAAGAACAGGATTTCCTCTAGGACTATCACAGGCCATCAGATCTAACCATGCAAATCAAATTTTGACCATGGTCAGAGTACTTCATCAGAAAACAGGAGATCAAAGACTGAAAACCATGAAAAACAGTATGAAAAAAGAGTCACCATTTGCCAAAGCTAATGTTTATCTGGATCAAGTCAGTTTATTTAACAAACTAAAACGCAAAAGAGAAAATTTACCTTCCAGACTGTAAAAATTCACCTAGGTAAAAACAGAAGTATTGGGCTGAGGGGATAACTCAGTGGCAAGTGCAAGGACTCATGTTTGAGCCTCGGAACCATACGCCGTGCTGGCCCTGTGCTGAGCTGGCCGTTGAAACCAGGCGTGGTGGTGCATGCCTGTAATCCCAGCGCTAGGGAGGCTGAGACAGGAGGTTCACTACTAGTCCAGGCTGCATAGTGAGACCCTATACCAAAGAAATAGATTTATTTATTTTGTGGAACTGGGGATTGAACTCAGGCCCTTGCACTTGCCAGGCAAGCGCTTATTCTACTGGGCTATCTCCCCAGCACAAATAGATTTAAAACAAATAAATAAAAGTACTTGAGTTTTCATTTACTATGATATGAACTCCTCCCTCCAAACAAATGTACATTACTAAATTCTCGGTGGCTTCATCATGCCAAGAGAAATCTTAAGATGACCTGTTTTCCTGGTCAGATGCATTGTAGGTAATCCACTATTAAGTAATCCCTTCAAAATGGCCTACTTGAGAGTTTAAGGAGCTTTCCAATTCCACAGTCCTATAAATGACCTTAATAACCAATTCATGGTTCACTGAAAGTATTGACCAAACTTTAACAACATCAGCAAAACAGCATGTTACTGAGTTCTAGATTTCAGGACAGCAGCAGGCTCTTAGTACTACGTGGCTCCCACTACCCTCCAAAGAATAAAAAAGGTCCCATGCCATGATGACCAGCCTACATCAACCCTGACAATGGTTAAGTCTCCATCAAGAAAAGAAGAGGTCATCGAACCAAGTGCAACATTTTTAGACCATTGCTTTATTTCACTATTGTTCAACAACAAAGTTCATTCCTCTCAAGATGGATCTTGAACTGTTCCTTGTGTTCTCGTCCTCATTCTGAATAAAAAAGGTAATGAAGAAAAAGCCTGTACTTTTGGAGACCTAGAATCTTATTTATGCTAATAAGCTTTTGACTGCAATTTCCTGTTACTATATCTCCTGCTGGCATCTTGGTGGTCACAGGGAGCTCCCCACCCTCCAACGAAGATGGCTGTCCACAGCTACCACCATTGAAACCAAAAGTAAGTGTTGAAAAATGCACCTTTTACAATAAAAAAGTAGAAACCAATTCAATTTCCTTTTGTTTTGTTTTGTTTTTTTACGAATATAAAGTTTCTTGTAAATATGTACAGTCTTTAGAGCTAGTTCTATATAGCAGGAAGCATTTCACAAATGAGACACACAATATACATTTTCTGGGCTCAAGATGCCCATTTCTCATGGAGATCCTAAATGAAATGCCAAGACTGAAAGACCAATTATCAGTGACCTTTCCAAATACTTGTGGACCAAGAGACAAAAACTTCAGCAAACATTCAGTCGGATCTGCCCTGGGGGAGGGGAGGGAGGGAATATGACCCCAAAGACTCCAAGCAACACATAAAACACGATAGCAGGACACTTGCCAAAGGTGCTATGACATGGAGGTTCATGGGCATTTCAAACAAGAAAGCACTTAGGTAAAGAGACGAGCAGGAAGGAGCCAGTATTTGGGCCAGGTTGCAATCTGGAAAGTGACCTGAACTGTGGACATATGGGTTGGAGACACAGTCACGTTCACCTGCTGCGATGGAAATAGGTCTACCTTTTAGCCTACCTAGCATGTGCCTTGGTTGGTGAGGCATGCTTAAGAGTCACAGAGAGAATCCAAAGCAAGAGAGGCCTTGTGGGAGATTAAAGGCAGAAATAAGGCCGCTAGTTAGCTTGCCAACTGCAAAGCCTCTAGGTTGGTTCTAAACCAGTTGCCAGGAATCCCATACTCTGAAAGAGGGCTAGAGAAACGGGGTGAGCCGCACTGCACCTAAAGGGGACTTGCCAACCCTGTAGGGCTGGAAGAGTTGAGCTGCGGCTTCTCTCTCCAACATCCTGGTCTTAGGTCTAGCCCTAGGGAAAGGCTCGTTTGGGAAGTCACAGTTTTGTTGGGTAGAACCGCGCTACGTTGTTTGTGAACATGGATGCGGAACTCAGCAGGGAAGTGTGAAGGTCCAAGAGGAAACTGAGTGAGAGGTGGTGGTTTGCTGAAATCCTTCTCTGGTCGTAAGGCTTGAGCGTTTTGTTTGTTTGATCAGTGCTACAGGCTGCAGCTTGTTGTGGCCAGTTAGTTGGCAAGTCATCAGAGGGTCTCAATTTGGCAGGAGCTATGGGATGGTATCAGTATGTTGGCAGAGCAACCCAGGGGATTAGCCAGGTCAGGGGATAGCACATGCAGTGAACCGCCATGCAGAGCTCCTGGACGGGGCTCCTCCCCGTCCCAGAGTGGGGAGTAACACACTGTTGGGGACAGGAGGTAGGTGCCCTGTCCCCTCCCCAACCCAAAGGCCCATTAATGCTGGGCTCGGAGCAAGTCTATTGCATGCTTTCCTGGCCAAAGCCACATGGACAGCGGGGACAGCAGGCTGGGTGGATGACACTGAGGAGCAGGGAAAGAAAGCTCAGTGAGGTCCCTTGGCTCCAGGTCACTGCCTCCGAGCTGAGGCCTGATGACCTCCATACATTCTCAGCTGGTGGGAGGGGAAGTGTTCAAGGCCATAAAAGGCAATGAAAACAGTAAACATTTGGCTATGATGTCACCCTGGGTAAAACAGGGCCATCTATGAGAATAGACTGGAATGAAGATAAAGCTACATGAATGCAGGAGGTTAGCCAATTGATGGGGACTCTTCTACACTACATTTCAGTGGCAAAGACCTGAGGATGTGATCTAAGCTAAAAATGACTACAACAGGAAATACATTGCTATTCAAATCTATTAAGTCTCTTGTCTTAAAAAAAAAAAAAAAAAAAAAGGAAAAGGAAAAAGAAAAAAAAAATAGGAAAAGAAAAGAAAAACCAACCAACCCTAGGTGTTGAAGTAGCTAATTAGGATTCTAACCACAGAGTTAGTGTCTGGTTGGTTCCTTGGATGAACTGGTACAGGCTAGAGCTAGGTACAAAAGTTTATGAATGCTTTGAAAGAGTAACAAAGTGCAAAGAGGATGACTGCAGGAAGGTGCCCGAAGGAGGCACTGAGTGCTGATGGCTCCAAAGAGCCTCAGCCACCTGCACCTCCTGGAGACAGAGGTGTCCGTGCCGAGGTGGGTCTGGGCCTAGCTGTGCCATGGGGCAGCTGAGTAGGCAGGTGCTCGGGTCCCCTGCAGCAGAGTTCCATAGTGTGTTTGGTGTTTTCCTGCAGAGTCAGATGAGGAGTTGGTTTTTCTGGCTGAGATTTATACTGAAGACTGGTCCCAGACCTAGGAGCAAATAAAAGAGGATTTTAACCTCCAAAGCCAAACACTGCTGGGCTCACTTTACACAATCTAGGTAAGGATTAGCAGCACCCAGTCTGTCCATTCAGCAGCTAATGGACAGTCCAGGGCAGCACTATGAGCAATCTTGCCTGCGATCAATCAGAGCAAATCACTGCAAATTCCCCAAACTGTGTGTGTGTGTGCGTGCGCACGCGCGCGCGCGCGCACACACACACACACACACACACACACGTGCACACAGTTTTACTGGTAAATCTGGAGGAAAAGGAAAAATATATCTAGATGATTTTCCTCCCTTCTTTTGCAGCAAAGGGCCAAGTCTAAACTTCGAGTGGCATTAGGAAGAAAACGCCATCTAGAACAGCTAGCGGGGGCAGAAAGATGGCTGTGCAGCCCACGTGGGCTCCAGAGCCAGGCCCTCCTGGAGGCGTCACCCAGCACTGGGCCATGTCCTGCTCACGGCAGCCCACAGCAAACACATCAATCCATATCCTTAGTCACTAACCTAAAAACTAAAATCACACAGGTAATACATGAACATGATTTAAAATTTTCAAAAAGTGCTTCCAGAACCAGGTTTTCTTTTGTGTGTGTGTGTGTGTGTGTGTGTGTGTGTGTGTGTGTTTGTTTTGTTTTTTTTTTTTTTTTTGTATTTAAGACAGGGTCTACAGGGTTTCCCTATGTAGAACAGACTCATATTCTCCCGTTTTCAGCCTCCCAAGTGCTGGGATTATTGGCGCATACCACCACGCGCAGTCTCAATCACCAGTCTCATCTTGGCATGCTGCCACAGCATGCAGGGGATCGAACCCCAGCCACTGTACTCTGCCCAAGCAGGGGTTTTAGTCCTCTGAGCTATCAGGCTGGCCCCTAGAACCAAGTTCTTCTAGGAAGTAAACATGAGGATTTTTTGTGGAGCCTTTCAGAAAGAAATCCCACATATACATATGTGTGTTTATATGTGTGTCTGAAAAAAGTAAGGCACAGAACACGTATAGCATGATATCATTTCCTTAGAGGGAGAATACACACATACATTTGCTTGTATGTACAGAACATCTCTAGAAGTTGTAACTGGTCTCTAGGAAAGGAAAAAAGGTACCTCTGGGACCTACGATATACCTAGTACATATACACATCTTCCTTGTAATCATACACATTATCTGATGGCTTAGTAAGCCCCTTTCTTAAATATAGTTTCCTCCTAAACCTATATGCCCCTCAGAGCCTGAATTCCAACAGTGCAATCCCTTTTTATAGCCGTGGCCCTGACCCTGGGAGTCTCAGCTCCCCAGGTCACCCCTCCAGCCTCAGGATGCTGCCTCACCTTGTTCACCTGGGACAACGGGGTCCTTACAGCTCCCACAGGCAGCCGGCCCCTGCTACTGTCTTCAAACAGCCTCCCAGGTGACCGCTCCCTACGTGTGCTCAGCATCCGGCCCGGGGACTTCTCACGCTCCAGGGGGCGGCCAGGAGACTTGTCCCTGCGCAGCTCTGTTCGCCCCTCACGGTAGCGGTGGGGTGTGCTTGGCTCTCGGGGGTGGCTGGGGCCTTCGGGTGGTGCTGGGCTAGAGGCCACACGCTTGGTGATGTGCTCATTATACGTTGGTGGGCCTCGCTTGTTGGGGCTGCTGGGAACAAGACAGGGAGACAGAGAGCTGAGGAGCCGCAAGTCCAGTGGGGCACTGTCCTTCTCTGAAAAGGCCCCCTACCCCAACATCACCACTGTTGATTAGAAAAAGATCAGACCTGGACTTCAGACTTCCTGTTTGCTTTATTTTAGTGATGAAGAGAGGGAAGAGAATAAACATGACAACAACCAAAAACCCAAGCATCTAGGTCTGGAAATCAAGGTTAAAATGCACCTCTGGCCATTTAGCTTTGAAATGTGGAAGGCAAACAAAAAAGTTATGTCCAAACAGAAGAGCTACATTAAGCCCATCTGTAATGGGAGAGAAATTATAGAAGGTATCCACAGGGGCCCATCATAAAGCATGGGGGAGGGTGCTCCCTGCCTGGGGAAGGCCATTTAGGACACCAACTTAGTTTAATGGAAAGAAAGAAAACTCTTCACTCAAAGCCAAGTGTGCAGTCTTCCATCTACAGATCCATTAATGACCAATGATCTACCACATCCATTCTACAAAGAGTTGTTTCCTGCTTTGCTAAACAGACCAGGATAACGAGGCCTTCACACCCAGCCAAGGCAGCCTTCTGCGGTCTGATCTGCCCGGAGCAGTCAGCAGCAAAAGGATGATTCTATAAAGCAACTAAGAACTAACTGATTTTCCAGACATGCCTGGCAGCAAGCAGGGAAACAAACACATTATTTCTGCCCCTTGCTCATAGCTTCTGGAACCATTTTCAACCACAGAGTAAGTGGCTGCCTACAGAGAAGCCATAGAGTCCCAGAATCAAGGTGTCTGGTCATCTATCCTGTGAGGCAACAGAACAAAAACCCTTAGTTATAATTTGATCAGTTTCCTGACACATCCTGGAACCTACTCAAAGAAGATTGAGACATCTCTGAGGTGCAGATCCTGAAAGGTCTGTCTGAGGGAGGATCAAGCTAAAGGAGTCAGGAACACCCAGTTATTGATACTGTGATTTTGCAGCAAGTTCCTGGAATTAAAACTTGCTAACAAAACATTTCAAATTAACTTCAATACATCAACAAAAGAAAGTTGAACTGTGAGTGGCATTGTTAGAATAGTGACCGAATATTAGATGGATATCTATCTTCTCTTAGTATTTGCTGTCAGTCCTAGCCTCAGAAAGAACCTTTACAAAAAAACATGCTGCCCTCAGCAAACGGAACTAATGACCATAAAGAAATTTAGGACTGGACCTGCAATCTCCCCGGCACTGAAGACCCAGCTGTACACCCACACCTGTGCTGACCATCCTTGCAGCTTTGACCTCAAACTTCCCATACAGATTCTGTGGGACTACGACCCCAAGTCCAAACCCTATATATATGCAGCCTCCCCTCAGGTATTTGCTCATATCACTCCAATTTTGTCCTTCCTGTTTGTAGACAGAATTAAATTAAGTCTTTCCCATAGTCTCAAATCTGGGTGCTTCCTCAATGTGTCATTAGTTAACACTTGGTAATAGAGTTGGTTCCTCCACCAAAGCATGAGCCCCTTAAGAGTAAGGAATTTGTCTTCCCTATTACTGTATCCATAGCCCTAGACATCATACCTGACCTGGCAGGGGGGTTCACACAGCTATTCAAAGAGTAAACATGTGGAGCTGGTAAATCAGCCCAGAAAATTAAAATTCTAGGATAATTAAATACTCCTGTGGTTAAACAATCTCAAACCTTTTGCAGACCAAGGCCTCCAGCTTCCTGCACAAACGTGGCTGTGGCTCTAGCTCTGTGTCACAACAAAGCCAGTGCCACTTCTAACACTGCTGGTAGGATGACAAATGGGTGCTGGTAGGATTACAAATACTCATCTAGAACACCCATCAGTTTCTTGCCTACAGTGTTATGTTACAGATAGATTTTATAAATGCAAAATGATGTAAGTTCAGTCATTTTCCCTTGCAACAGACCTAAAGCAACCTAAGCTTCCACTGATGAAGGAATGCTTAAATAAACTGAGGAATACAGGTCCAGGCATATAGCTCAGTGGCACAGCGCCTGGCTGGCAAATTCAAGGTCCTGAGTTTGATTCCCAGTACAAAAAAAATAATAAAAATAAAAATAAAAATAAAAAGAGGTACAACAATGTGAAGGAATGCAATGCAGCCACTACATTTTTAAAAACTGAAGATATACTTCATATACTGACATGAAGCCATCTCCAAGACACACTACGGCACAGAAGAACATGCAGAATATGCTACCACTTCTATTAGAAGGACACAGAAGAGCATTTCCAGCGTGGCAAGAAGGCCTCTGGGAATCTATTGCTCTATAAAAACAACAGGAACACTGATAAGACCAGCCAAATTAACTTTTCAAAATTCTGGAAATAAATAGTTCTTCGAACTTTCTTCATCAAACCAAAAGACAGGAGAGGCACCTGGTTATTGGGCACTTCTGCTTTTCCAGCAAGTTCCTAGGTGGCTCAGAGGTACTCTTCTAGCCTTGGCAAGGTTTTTGGTTCAATTTCCAGTACAGCAAAAAATGACATAAATCACATTGACTAAGAATGCTGTAAAACACTGTTGCAATAACGTGAACACTGTTTATATAACAAAAACAACCGAATCTCGGAACAGCAAGCTCTGTGAGACTTTAACCTATCCTGTGCCCATGCCCCTCTCTCTAGATCTGTGGTAAAGGTGAAATCAAAGGACTTGTAACAACACACGGCAGCTGGGCAAACCACTGGAGGGAGTAGGATGAGGCTCTTCAGAAAATGGCAACATCCAACCTGTCCTGGAAAAGACTCATTCTTGAGCTTGTGTGGTAAGAAAAGCCCTGTGCTAGGCAAAGACGCACAGAAACAACTGTTAAAGGTGGCAAGTGCCTCAGGCAGTCAGACCAGATGGGGAAAGCAAGGTTTCTTTTAGGGGTGATAAAAATGTTCTAAAATTATATTGTGGTGACGGTTGCACAAATCTGTGAATTTACTACAAACCACTGAATTTACATTTTTAAAGGGAGGTTTTCAGCCATGCAAATTATCTGAATAAGAAATTTGCTGCGGCTTGGATAGCACTACATGTATCCCCCCACCCCCACCCCCACCCCAAGGGCTCAGGTACTAAAGGGTGGGATCCTAATCCAACTACAGAGTTCAGGGTAGAGCCTTTGGGAAGCCAGGAGGTTCAGACAGAGTTCAGAAGAGGCACGCATGTGCTCCTGTCTCTTGCCACATTCTGTCCTGAGACTGCCAGCAAGAAGGCCATCAATATCTATAAATCCCCAATCTCGGAGCAGAGTCATGAGCCTATTTTGCTTATAAGCCATCTAGCACCAGGCATTTCATTCTAACAACAGAACACAGACTGATACAGAGATCATTTTTTTTCAAAAAGGAACGGTACGGCACGTACATGAACATGCATTCACACATGCATATGCACCAAGGGTCTCTAAGTAAAAACAGGAAACTTTCAAAACATATTTCTTCCAGGGAGGGAACCTGGGTGGTGGTGATGGAGTGAGGGGAGTTGAGAGAAATGAGCCAGAAGAGAAGTTAGGCGTGGAGGTAATTGTTCATAGTCCCAGCTACTCAGGAGGCTGAGACAGGAGGACTGCTTGAGCCTGTGAATTAGGCCCAGCCTATGCAACATAGCAAGACCCCATTTCTTTTTTCTTTTCTTTTTTCTTTTTTTTGGTGGTCCGCTCAGTCTACCCAGGGGAGGGCTGGCACAGCATGTGGTGCCAGGGATCGAACCGCGGTCCCTGCATGTTTGCCTAAGCAGTTGCTTTAGACCCCTGAACTATCTTGCCCCACCTCCCGTTCTTAAAAAATAAAGAGCCAGAAGGCAGATTTTGTACTATACATTCCTTTGTATGCTTTGAACTCTGTACCATGTCACTGGATCACAAATTCAAAGCTAAGTAAAATTTTAAAAATAAAAGAATATCACTCTGTGACTAGGAGGTTTTGAATCTGGAGGAAAGCCTAGGTCACTGTCAGCATCTAAGAGGCGTGTACGTCCGTCTCTGGCAAGTCTTTTTCTCATGCCCGAGCACTCTTGCCCTCCCAGGAACTCTGCAGCTCATTTCTTCCGGGAATTCCTCCCTGGGTCCCAGATAAAAGCTGCAAGGCCCTCTTCTGAATATCCACAGTGCTTAAACTACCCCACCAGAGGGCACATACCTGATGGCACATGTCTCGCTCTCATCCAGCTGTGAGCTGCATCTGGCTTCCTCATCACTGTACCTCTCCCCACAAGTCTAACAACTAGCAGAGCAAAGTATCTGCTAACCTATGAAACATAATCTACGCTCTATTCCAATAATGCTGCTGAAAATACCTACCAAAGAAGTCAGGATAGGTCCCTTCCAATTTATAAGGGAGCCTTTTACCATTTTCCTTATGCTTCTAAAGACCTATGCCATTTCAAGGTCATAGATCTCAAAGAAATATTTGGTTTGTATTTGGAGTCAAAGTAAAGATTAAGAAATGTGCAACAGCTTATTTGCAAGATTTCCTTCTGCTCTGCACTGCAGTACTCTGCCCCCTGCTGGAAGGAAGAAGGAGAAAGGTTTGGTACCTGCGGGAGGTGGAGGGGACCCGGTGGTGCTCAGTGCCGGTCTCCTTCACAAGGTTTCCTTTGCAGCAAATGACCCTTAATTTATCCTGGTATGAGGAAGCCAGGTAAATTGCTCCCGAGGAAATTGCAGGGCCCAGGTAGCGCGGGTTTGGGATTTCCAAATAGGCTCGGGCAGGGGTCCTGTGGAGTTCCAGACAAGGGTTTATATTCACTGCAGGTTACCTCCATCATGAGGCAGGGTAGGAGGAAAACACACAATCCACCCAAAGACCCTCCAACAGCTGGAGACATCAAAGCACAGATGATGGACACTGCTTACCCCAGTGAGGAACGGGCCTGGATCTCAATGACTTCAAGTGAGTTGAAGTGGGTCACAAACAGATAGGGTTCTCTGTAGGCTGCATGGTCCCCATGGAGGAAGGTGTAGGGCAAAGAAGGGTTCAAAGAGGGAAAATCACAACCTGGCTGCAATACATTGTATGACCCAGCAATCCCCCAGGTACCTCTACTTGTCAGCTTAATTGTCTGTGATCCTGTTTATTCACGGCCATGTTGTTTGTTAAAGCAGACAATGGGAACTGACTCCAATGAATTTTATAAACTTACAGAATTCTGCACAGCTCTAAAAATTCATTATGAAGTTCTCTATGTACTGCTATGAAAAAATACTCAAAGTGTATTTCTCAGTGCAAATATAAAGTGAAGTTTAGAATAATGCATAACATATGCTACTTTACCAATTTAAAAGAAAAGGTGGAGGGGTGCTGGGAATGTTGTTCAGTGGTATAGCACTTGCCTGGCATGTGCTGCAAAAAATGTGGCGATAAGAATATATGTTTTAAGGGCTTGACAGATAGCTCACTGGACTAAAGCACTGCTTAGGCAGGTACAGTGACCGGGCTTTAATCCTGGGTGTGCTGTGCTGGCCCCATCCCTGGGGCACCCTGAGACTGGGCATGGTATTATATGCCTGTAATCCCAGTGCTTGGGAGTCTGAAAACAGGAGGATCACTCACTATGAGTCCGATCGGTGTAGTAAGACCCTGTAAACCCTGTACTAAAATACAATAAAATAAAATAAAATAAAGAATACATGTTTTGGGGGCCAGGGATATAGCTCAGTGGCATAAGTGCCTGCCTGGCAAGTACAAGGTCCTGAGTTTAAGCCCTGGTATGGGGGAGGGGGGGAGAAGAAGAATATACTTGCATAAAGAACTGGATAAATAAGAAAAAGCTTTTTTCCTTTCAGGAAATTATAATAGAAAAATGAAGGAGACAGGAAATATGGATAAGAATTTTCCTTCTATATGTATTCAAACATTATATACATAGTAGAGCACAGCTTTAATTCAAGCACTCTGGGAGGCTGAAACAGGAAGATCACAAATTTGAACCCAGTCTGGGCAATTTAGCGAGAGCCTTTTTCCAAATAAAAAAATTAAAAAACCTAGTAAACAACAAAAACTGAGTTCATAGATAAGTAGATACTTTCTGTTCTTCATATTCTATCTGTTGTCAGTGTCACGGAAACTGGAGAAAACACGGTGAGCTCTGTGTCCTGCCTTAAAGGGAAAGGTAGCACTCTTGTCCCTTGTACAAACTATTATTTTGCTATCAGGCTCTCAGTCATGGGCCGCAGACCTCAGTCCTCAGGCAGCCTCAGCCTCCTTCCCTTGAACCTGGCAAACCTTGGCCTGCTTCACCCACAGAATGTGGTAGAAGCAAAAAGGCCTGCTCGCAGCCACTTTTATACAGATGGGGAGAAACTGAGGCCCTCCACCCACCTGCCCCAGCTGAGCTCCGACCTGTGTCTGGCACTAACCGCCAGCTGCCCGAGGGTTTCGCAAGCTGTTTTGGATTTTCTAGCGGCCCCTGGGCCCCCACTGATGCCACCCAGAGCACAAGTGTCCAGCCGATCAGCAGAATCACAAGCAGTGGAGCCTACTGTTTCAAGTCACTGCATTGGGGAAACAGCCTACTATGTACCCACAGACAACTAAGATAGCCTTGAAGGTATTTGTGCATTTCAGAACATTCATACGCCTAACTGGGCACATATCTGGAGGCATCTGTCCTCTTCGTTCACCCAGAAGCATCACGTTCAGAAACTTATGATCAGGGCTGCTGTTGGACAGATTGGTGCAAGGATGTTCACTGGTGCTGTTTACACTTAACAAAAACAGGTCTGGCCTCATTGGTCTGCCTGGTTAGAACTAACTGGTTAAATTCATCTCATGTGTAGCTATGCCATGCCATGGGATACTACGTAACCTTCGGAGGTGAATGAAATACATCCATAGGGAATAGTCTCCTTTTTGTCACGGGAGCTTTACACGCATTTCACAAGGCTGAATTATGGCCTAAGTGATCTAGCTTATGCAAATCTTCCTTAAGCCTCAGAATCTTCTGCCGTAGACATTTACGTGGGTGACTATTGTGTATGGTGCTTGGCATCTAATGGGATCCACAAGCATGTGGCTTAAGCCAAGAAGAATCCCACCTGTCATCCCTTCCCAGGACACCCACACTGTGCCTCACGTACCGAAGGCCAAAGGCAAGCGACTCCACTTGAGATCATCGGTGCGGCTACGTCTTCCATAAGAATCCACGAATACCCCAAATTCTGCAAGGTGTCAAGAGCACAGGGGCATTAGCACCAGCCAGCAGTGGGGGACATCAGTGACACACACTGTGACTGGAAGAATGAAGAACAGACCCCAGAGGGGCATTCAGCCAGAGTCAGCTGGATTGCTAAAACCAGAGGACCTCTGCAGAACCAATTCTAGTTTGATTAAAAATAAAGAGTATAAAGAGTATTTTAGCTTTAAAAATTTAAA